GGGCTGAATTGCACAAAACGCATGATCGCACCGGCTAGTCTGGTGCGCGTTGCCATTTATTGTTTCAATGACAAGGGAGACATTCGAACATAATCTGTGTAGTGTAAGCGTGCGCCAACAGCAATACCTCACATGCAAGTTTTTCGATGGCTTTTACTTCCGGTGCTTGCAAATAAACTGACGGGGATTTCGACTTCCTCATAAAAGACAATGTCAATTTACCACTGAAAAGGGCGAAGCGTTATAGCAATACTGAACTGAAGTTGGCCAAGTCAAAACATTGACTTTCAGCATGAGGACCGTGCTGTCTGCCACTGCACCATAGTGGCATATGCCGGCAGAATCTCGATTAATGGCTAGGAAGATCCGGAAGTTCAAATGGGATTTCAGACTAGTCAATCCCAACACTGTGACGTCCAGCAACAAGTGAGTCTTTAAAACTTCGATTCATAGTTTAAACATTCTTCATTTATGGTACTGTACGAATCTTCGTGCAGAAATCAAAGGTTAGATTTCGGAGACAGCCTAAAAATTGTCCAGAAACTCTGTACATCCTCAAAACTTAGTTTTTAATTTTGCAGTCCAAGAAAACATATGTGTAGAAACACGATCTCGCCACAGTTCATGCAAACGAAAAAAGACTAAAGGCACTGTGAGATAACAGACCTTTTTCGCAGCTTCGTCTCTGAAAGTCATTGCCAATTTCGTTGTTGCATTCCGTGCAGTGACGAAAACTAGAACCTGATGTCTTCCTCGCACAAAGTAATGCACTTTCTCGTAACAAATTTCGTCCAAATCACGCATCATCTGCGGACCCGTATTCGAAGGACTACGGACACCAATAAAACTGCAAATCTTTCGTTTCAATCAGAACAAAGAATGAAGCCCCCTGACTACCGAATTGTCCATCTAAGTATACGTTGCTTTGACTAGAATTTCAGAATTATGATAACATGTACGTCACTGTCATTCTTGTCGAATTCAGCCAATGAAAGAAACTCTCCGAGAGGGATTTAATTGTGAAAATAGATTAAAAAAGTTGCCTTTTGTTTCTTTTTAACAAATTCTGCTCTTCTGTAGGCTAAATTCAAAACGAATTTGCAAACCCAGTGAAACCTTTTTTAAAACCAGTTGAACCACATAAAGTTGAACAAGATTTAAACTAACTTTATCCAACCAATGCGATTAAGGTTCCACAAGCCCAGTGGACAAAATAAAGTTGCTTTTTATTTCTTTTTAACCTACTCGGGAACATGGGTCACGTCTCAATAATTAACTTTCCTGTTCCCTTGCCTGTTGTATTTCAAATGTCATTCCACTAGAA